TTCCTATTTAGACATGGTATAAAGTATTTCTGTATCTAACAAGTACACTAGATTCCTCAATATGAAAACACAAGCAGTCTTTAGAGAGAAGATTTCAGACAATGCTAAGTTTTTATTCCTAAGCCACAACTTCTGCTAAAAAGTGACCTATAGTGGTTGTCATACGACCAAGAGGTGGACCCATTGAGCCTGACTGACAGTGAAGAACAGTATTTATCTTCAGCGTTTTCAAATCTGATTGTTCTTGGAAAGGCTTTTTCTCAAACATAGAAATGGGGGGTGTGTAAGGGGGGGATATTCTAAATTCAGTTGAAGCCAAAACACAGTCTTTTATCTCTAAGCTTAGCTGCAAGTAGCCCTCAGCTTGTAATTCCAGTAACTTAAAAATTTAAACCATGTCAATACATTATGTATTAGATAAAACAGAACTTTCTGAAGACAGAAAGATAAAGTTATAACAGCACCTCTCCCCCCCCCCCCCCCCCCGAAAACAAACAAAAAAACCCCACTAAAGCCATTTTTGGTCAAGTAATCAGGAAAACATCCTATTCTATATAATTATAGATAATTATGTTGTAAAACTTGAATACTTCGGTTGGAATTTTGGGAGAGGCAGGCACTCTATTGTGAAACGAACCTTAAGAGATAATGCCAAATGCTAACAAGCCTCTAATATTGCTAGCTCTGCTGTCATGGTACTGTTTAGGTTTACCTACAATTTGTAACTGAGAGAAAATTCCTGTACATCTCACTGTTAGAGAATTGCTTTGGAATTTGTTTGAAGAGGCTTATTATAGATGTTAAAGACAACTAGTTCCTAATCATGATGCATTCAAATCAGTTCTTGGACAGGCACACTTAATGTGGGATTCCCATTCCGATAGAAATGCTTCACAAATCCAGCTCTACCGATTAAAACTGACAGGATTTCATACTAGAATGAAAGAAAAATTAAGATGAGGCCTATGTAACTTCAGCCTTTCGTAACCAAGCAGATGATCGGAGCAAGATGTGGCTATAATGCACTAGCAGGTAATATTAACGTGGATCCGCTTTTCTCTGATTTCTTACATTGAATAATTTTGTTCCAGGAAGAAAGGTAAACTTCCATTTTAACATGGGATCATTATGCCGTTTGATTAAAAACGGTAGTGGAATTATGGTAACCCGAAACACAGCGCTGCCTTTGGATATAAATTCAAGTAATTTCGGGCAAAACCCCTGAAAAGGCAACAACGTTGACAGCTTTCCCATCTGAATCTACTTTCGGTGACCTGTGACCGTCCAACCGAGCACGGCCAGGGGGTGCGAGGGCAGGTCCGAGGCTGAGGAAGGGGCTTCCCGGGGAGGAGGCACCGGCAGCGCCGGCGGGAGCCGTCAGGCTCATTGTTCCGGGGACACCTCGCTCGCTACGGGCGACTGCGGGGGGGCAAGGGGGATATTTTCACGGTGAAACTCCTTGACACGAAAATGAGCGTTTACTCTCTTTTATAAGAGGAAACTCCCTC